TAAATTTAAAGTATAGAGGACAGATAAACCAAGAATAACTTTGAGTTTTTGATGAAACTTTTTTTCCCAAACATGAAATTGCAAACTTTGTTTTTGATTATATTTTGCTGATTTTCGGTAGTGTAATTGATCCAATTATTTAAATATAACGTTATTTAGAGTTTTCTTAAGTTTTGATTTTTTATTTCAAAAGTCATTAGCATTTGAAGTTTTTTTTTCAAGTCATGTGTTTTATCCATTAATGTAAATCTATCCTAAATTAATTAAAATAAAGTAATATTATATTAATGTTAATTTTATCTTCGTATTTTTAAGAGGAAATATGTAAAACATTGTAAATTTTACATGTTAATCCTTATAAAATTTTGAATTTAATATGTTAAGTCTGTTATGGTTTTAAAATTTAAATTCAAAAGCGTTTCATTTTTTTTGTTAAAAAAATTTCCAACTCTTAAAAATAATGAAAAATAAATGTTTTATCTCAAATTAGTTTCAAAAATTTTACTCTATTTTAAACATTTTATTTTTGAATAAATATAATATGTTTGAGATGAATATATTTTAAATGCATATTGTTTATATTTAAATATTTTTAATATTTGAATATTTTTAACATTTGAATATTTTTAATATTTGAATATTTTTATTATTTGAATATTTATAATATTTGAATATTTTTAATATTTAAATATTTAAATCAATAAGATGTAATAACCATTTATATACCGAAGAAGTCTGTTTTTAAATTATGTTTACTGGAATTCGTTGTTCAATTTTGAAATGAATTTTATTGGTTGATATTGCTTTGCACGGTACTCAGGTTTATGGAATGTGGCATTAGGTAATTTACAAAATCCTTTTGTCAAATATTTACTATCAAAAATTTGAGACGAAACATTTATGTAATTGCATAAATATCTTAAAATTACAGTGACTGTCGTGTTAATGTTTATAATTACGTCTATCGAATTTTAATACTATGTCTTATTTTGTACTGTGTTTTATTTACTATTAAGTATAAGGTAAAATACTTGTGTTTCTTTTTTATTCTTCTAGAAATTTATTTAGAATAATTATTCTATTGCTGTAGAAAGTGGATAAATTGATTTTTTTTTAAAAACTATCTAACTTACATGACTTTAAGTTTTCAGATTTCTACATATATTATGCATACGTATGAATTAAAACAATTATTATTTTTAAGTTTCTACTTGATCATGTGTAAAATAACTTAATAACAGATCTATCAAGCTTAATTTTGTACATTTAAAAAAAGAAAACATCTAAATCAAAATTTGCATAGATTCAATATGATTCTATATAATTATATTATTATCAAATACATAGAATAATAGAGATCTAAATTGATTTGATATAATATAATTGTTAGACTCAAATCAATTTAGAGATTCGATTCTAATAATTATATTAAAATCAAATCTCTAAATAAGTCGCAAAAGTAAATGTTCAACATCTTATAAAAAATTTTTTCGATGCCTATTTTATTAGATAATTAAACTTTTTTCATAATTGCTTTGTACTGTTAAAGAATTTTTAGTCCTATTTCCAAATTAGTATTTATGTTAAATATAATAATGTTTTTTTTTTAAAATTGCCAATTGTAGTTATTATTTTAAACCATTTACAAGTTAACGTTCCAAATTTAAATAACAGTTTGTTTTTAAATGTAATATGTATTTTTTATAAATTTAATTTAATATTATTATATTAGATTAAAATTTTATGCTGAAAAATTTCACGTATCTTCATTTCTTTAATAATTTTCTCATTCTCAGCCCCTATTTTTTGTTTTGGTAAATTTTAATGGTTTAAACCAACTAATGGTCAACCGTTAATAAACAATGTAGGTTTAAACCATTCAAACCAATATTGATGTCTAACAGTCAACTTTGCTGCTTGGATTTTTCATGTTTGCTTCGATAATAACTACAAATTTGGTACAAAGTCTACAGAATAAAAGAAAAAAAAAAATTCGTTTTAAATATTTTATAGTTAAGAGAAAAATAATGAGTGAAATTTCTTGTCTGTATTAAAATATTTCAATAGAAATAAATTCAGCTGTTTTATGAAAAAAATATTTTTCAATCCGTAACAATAATTATGGAATACATTCAAGATGGCAGCGTTTATTTTATCTTTACTTTATATTAATATCTACTCATATGCTAATTTTATTTAAAAAAAGTACTTAGTTGTACCTTATAAATTTGAATTAATAGTTAAAATTTGTTAACTTTACGATAATATTTCAGAACGTGAAGAGAACGATTTAGAACGTGAAGAATTTAAATTTTGTAGCCAATTTTTACCCGTGCATTAAGTGGCCTCCATACGTGTTTTGCATTTTTTTTAGATAAATATAACTTGCTTGAATTTCATATTTTTTTCTTAATTTCTGTATTCTATATTTCACATCAATTTGTTAAATAACATTAAAATAAATGAAATTTTTTGTAAAGGTATAAATAATTTCATAGATAATGTTATTTTTGAATATTGTTCCAATATTGCTTTTAGTATCGAAGACCAGAGGTTGAAAAACGAATTAAATTTTAATTTAAAGAACCGGACAGGTTAAGTATGTATCGAAGCATCAGGAAGATGTATACAAAAACATCTTCATATATCCTTCTTATTGGTATTAAGAAGTAAATTAATATTCTCGGTTTATAATCGAGCATAAATAGTTCATAAACATCGAAATTCTGATGTTTAAAAACTTGACTTTAAAAATATTTTATAATAAAGACCTTATTGGAATACACGCCTTTTTAAATGTTTTTTTTCCAATAAATTGTTAGGTACCAATTGTTCCTTTATAAAATATTGACAAACTTTATTGAAACAATGAGAAACTTTTTTATTATCTTTTTTTGTGGTTGAAAGTATACTTGTAATTCATCAAAGTCTTATGTTTAACTTTTTATTTGTTTCATTCGAACCAGCTAAGCATTTATTTTTACGAAGACTTAAATTTATCCGCAAGTTCTTAAATATCCCTCATCGTTATCAAGTCCTTTTCCTTTAACTCTTTACATACTCGTTAACTTATACTCTTGGCCAAGATAACTCTCCTGCCTTCAATTGAAATGACAATACAATTGAAAGCAGGAGAATTTTTATATTTTGTCAGAGCTTAACCACACCGTTATATAATTAAAATGCATTTCTCTGCATGTTTAATTTTTTTAAATGTAGCAATAGTCAAATTATTTTAAATTAAATTTATAAATATAAGAATTAAATAAACATAAATAAATTTTTCTAATCAGTGAATAACTACGATTTAATTCAATGAGATACCTTCAAAAATGATAATGGCACAATGTTTGATATGTGGGATGTTAAGTCTAGCTTGTGTTCATTATTGCATTAATTGACAAAAATATAAACAGAAAACGAAAAAATGAAACGCTTGTTTAACAATCCAATGTGCTATTTAAGTAACTAAATATATAAAACATAACATACGTTTTTTACGTTAGTGATTGAATATTTTAACGCATGAATAAATGTAATTTGAATTGCACGTAAAATATTAAGATCGGCTTTGAAACACAAAGGGAGGCAGAAAAATTTTTTTTTTTCACTATCAACTTACTGCCGAAAACTTCTATATGGTAGATAAAAAATGATACCGAAATTTTTTTTAAATAAAAATTTATTTTTCTGATTTAGTATACCTTTAAAAGAGACACTAAACACAAAATTGTGCAATTTTTTAAAAATGATTTAGTTAGCCGAAATTTTTGTATAATTTTGTTTTATTAATGCAATTGTGCATAATATATGCTTTTGTCAAAACTGTAATTTAATGTGCTCTAATGAGCTTAAGGGCTTGCTGATAGAAATGCATTATTTTCCTGTTTTTTTTTCTATCCCTACAATTTACAAACATGTTCTCATAACGTACCAATATATATATATATA